CGCATACATGCCATTAAGTATTCTTTCTATTATTCAGCCAAAAGGAGAATGGGTTGCATTAATGAGACCAAAGGTTAAACGGGTTACAATAATTAACATTTCTGTAAAGAAAACGCTCAGGTTAAACTGTTTGTATGAATCGCATGTTTGTAAAAACTAAACAAGAGACTTTCTATTTTTGGTTTGACAGAGAGTGTAATTCATTTGAACAATTTAAGAAATGGATAATCGTACATCGTACATGGTGTTTTAGATGCAAATTGTGATACTCGTATTATGGAAGGGTGGCCAATCAACTTTGGCAGGATTAAAAAACACATTGATTACTATTGTGGCGGATTCATAGGATTCTTTTTTGAATATTGGGATGGATTTGGAGTGAAATTGGAAATTTGATAAATTTTCAAATCTAAAAGTTTAAGGAAGTTTGATATCATTTATGGGGGTTAAATGTCGGAAAAAATCAATCTTTATTTAATAGCTGGGGAAAGCTGGATTTAACTGTTGTTATTTGGGATTTATCGTTCACGTTAATTTTTGGAAATATTTCTCATTTCGAAGTTGGTTATAAATCTCGATTAATTTGGGATTTATCGTTCACGTTAATTTTTGGAAATATTTCTCATTTCGAAGTTGGTTATAAATCTCGACTTATTTGGGATTTATCGTTCACGTTAATTTTTGGAAATATTTCTCATTTCGAAGTTGGTTATAAATCTCGATTTATTTGGGATTTATCGTTCACGTTAATTTTTGGAAATATTTCTCATTTCGAAGTTGGTTATAAATCTCGATTAACTTGGGATTTATCGTTCACGTTAATTTTTGGAAATATTTCTCATTTCGAAGTTGGTTATAAATCTCGACTTATTTGGGATTTATCGTTCACGTTAATTTTTGGAAATATTTCTCATTTCGAAGTTGGTTATAAATCTCGATTTATAACCAAGTTGGAAAGGAACGGACACATCTCAAATTTTATTTCTATGCAATGCTGAATAACAATTTAGAAATTAAACAAATTAAAACATTTTATGATTTTCACACAGAAATTGAGCAATTTTGTAATACATGTTTCACATCTATAATGGTGAAGGATGGTGTTGTCAATTTTATTTGTTAGGTTGTCGTGTAAGAGAAATTTGAAGACGCTGGGCAATTAGTTCGGTTGCCTGACCCACATTCTAATGTCCAAAGTCCATCCCAAATCTGGATACAAATTCCTTCAAATCATATTGCACAAGTTGAGCATATGCAGATACTGGAACCATAACTAAATTGATAATTTTAAAATATACCAGCAATTTGTAGATTATATTTGTACGACATTGTCTTCATTAATTATCGTTATTTGTAACCCTTCCCCATTTTAATCCTTTCAGAGGATACAGATATCTTCAGATAGTAGAGTAAATCGATTCGTACCTAGCCACAAAATATATACTTTAAATAATTTAAAATACTTCTAATTATTCAACCAAGCAATCCATCCGAAGTGCTCAGCAGCGTTGTCACAGTTGCAGAGATGACTTGCTCGAAATACTGCACTTTCGTCTCCTTGTTTATCCGAAAGATTTTAGTCCCCCCAGAACCTGCCCAAATACAAAACTCCCGCGTTCCTTTTAACCTCCGCCGTGTCCACTTTATGTCCAACTTGCCACCATCCCCCACCAACGAGGCGGCCCATCTCCTCTTAACTTCTGTGCTCACATCGAGCAATCCATGTGCCAGAGGTAACGTGAGATTTATAACGATCGCCACCACCACCGCTACCGAGGGAAAGAAAGAATACACCGGAAACGGTAGGGTGTCATACAATCGGATTGTGACGAAATTGGCGACGACGAAAACCACGAGCCCGATAAGGATCAAAAAGATGGTACCCAGTTCCTGAAACGGGGCGACGGACAACATTCCCAACTGAATTTTAAGATGCGTCGTTATCCCGGCATTTATTCGGGCCGAGGATGCAAAGAACCTTCCCGATTCGTGTAACAAGATGGAATATATTGATCGTACAATATTCAAAAGTGTTATAAAAATTAAGATGACCAGAGTCATGGCGCGGCAAACTTCGTAAACGTTGATCATCAGAATAAGAAAATAAAGCACTTTTACAATGATCAATGTCAAATGGGTGAAGTCATATATTTTATGCAAGTCCCGCCCTAGGAAGTTGAAGGGGTCGAATTCCATGTAAACCTCGAAAGGAACGAGAAGGAATCTGTAAATGTAGAAATTTCGAACCAAGAATATTAAACTTGCTTCAAGAATTTTGTTAGATTCGTCGAATACGGCGTGATTGTCTTGTCCTGTAATTAATAAATTTGCAGTTTGTTGCATATTTAATCAGTTTCAATTATTTTGAAGTATTGAATATTCGAAATACGCGCCTCTTTTAACCACATGCCAACTTACCCCGGACTTGCGCCCCTCCTACCAGCTGTCCTTCAAGCTTTACAATTACATTGAACCCATTGACTAGATCCTTCCCATAGAGCGTGATCATGGCATGATTTACAATCACGTAGTACGTCAAAATTCCTAACAAGGACAAGATTAGTGCCACTGGCAACTCTACGTATGGCTTCTCCGGACTGGAGCGTAGAGTTTGAACAAAATTATACATTATTGCACAAGCAGTGATTGTGTCGACGGAAAGGAACATGTTAAAATGCCAGAGTTTCAGGAAAAACTTTCCACTAGCAGATTTATAACATAGACATTCTCTCTCTGCATCCCATTGGATGGGGCATTCCGAAATAAATCCTAATCTTGAAGCATGTTCCTGAAAACTGGATTTTACGTACGAGGCAGTCATTTCGACCGAGTTCTAAGTTGAGAATAAATGCTTGGCTTTTTTAGGAGCTGCGTTTTGTCAGCGGAATCGATTTAGTCTGAAAGACTCCTTCATCAAAAATTAACGAAGTGGCTTTTGCTGGAGAATTTTGCTGGAAACTCGGCATTTCCTTGCTGGAATCAACATGTCTAACCCCTTTCATGTGAAAACTTATTTTATAACGAAAGAATAAAAAAAAAATTAGTACGTACTTATTTTTCATACTCGATACTTAGGAACTTTGGTAAATATTAAGCATCTAACAAAACATATTATTGAGAAATTTAATGCCTTATTTAGATAAACTTGACCAAAACATCTTTCAACTAGAACATGATTCCGTCTAAGCAATTTATTAATTGAGTAGTCAGTTTATTTACTCTAAAATATAAAAATATCGTCCTGATATTAAAGCGATAACCAAGTATTAGACCCCGAGAAACTTAAAACCATTTAATTGAATGTTTTATATATAACATTCTTAATAAGAATAACCCAGTCTCCGTCTGTCTGTCTGTCTGTCCGTCCGGAACGCATTGGAGGCATTGGAGGATAGGAGGGCAAGTGCTTATACATTTGGAGGTATTGAGCTTAAAAGGGGCAGAAGCAGGCAAGTACGGTGAACATGATCCTGCCATGTACTCTGACCCTGACTCTGACCAACACCAGTCCGTCTTACCGATTGAAGCAAATGAGGTGATCTTGTACATAATGATTGCATTAGATGATAGCAGCTGGTCTATAAGAGCAAATCTGGCCGTTTACTTTGCGGCAGTTAGTTGATAATTGTTTAACCGTAAACAATGTCAACGTTGCCGGGTATTGTTATCTAAATTTCGAATCGCCTAACATCGATTAATAGGCGCTAAATTTGAATCTTCAATGACGTTGGACTACGAGCAATGGCGCAATTTTTTAAATCAAGAAGGAATGCCCCCCCTAACATCTTTAATACATACGTTCATTGGTAAAAAATAGATTCTTTTCCGCGGTTTTACCGCATAACTTGCATGCTGTATCGTGATCTGGTCAGTATTTTAGATAAATAATTATAAACAACCGTAGGTTTATTTAAATTATAATTAAGGGGTCTTCCCCGTTTGCGGGCGTTGGTGGTATTGATTAGCGACGACTTCATACCTTCAGCTGGGGAGATCATGGTCCCTTTTCTGTTTTTTTCAATTTGAAATATATCAGACATCATTGGGTACCTTAAGACAACAATTTCTATATTCACATTATCGAAGAGTTGCTGATCCCCCCGCACACATCAACACCTACATCCAGAACCAACAATTGACGCCTCCACCACCACCACCGCCATTCCCTTCCTTGTTCCCCCACCAGACAAACTTGTTCTCCCTCCCCTCTCCCACCCCCTTCCGATCTGCAGTAGCAGACAATCATCGACTTAACGCCCCCTCCACCCCCCTAACCGATGTCAAACGAAAACGGGTCATCTAAGTGACCCAACCAGGACCACAACCTACGATCACAATTGACATATTGACCCCTCTCTTTCAACCTTTCCTCTCTCGCCTTTACTCAACAACATCCTCATTCTCCCCAAAATCGTACTCACCTCCCTACATCAATCTACAATACCAACTAACCAATCCTGAAATCTATTCGGAACTCCTGTTATTTATTTATTTATTTATTTATTTATTTATTTATTTATTTATTATTTTATCATTTATTATCATATTATTCATGAAAGCTTGTAAATCTATGCTCCTTTATGGGCCCGAAGAGGCCGTGAAAAAGGAATAAATCAACATACATACATACATACATTATCGAAGAGTTGCCTCATCGTGGGCCGATAATCTTTAACATTTAAATTATTATGGAAACGGGATTTTGTATTTTATATATCACAACAATAAGCTGAAAAAAAATTAAATTGGTACATCAGGTATGTGGCACAAAATCCATTAGTAGTGGACATTCATAAAATTATGTCACACTGAGATTCCCATTTTCAAGACCCTAATTGCTTCCAGCTTTAGGTTAAAATTGTCACAAGGCACTATGACATTTGACCCCCAGTGGGGGTCAAATAAATTATAAATTATAAATTATATAATAGGTGGGGGTCCCCCACTCATTATATAATTTATATGTACATCAAAATCAAAAGAAAACTTTCTCTAAATTCGCATTAGCTTCACACAGTTTATTCAACTCAATTGTCATCTCAATAAAGACGTATTACCCTCATGATAATACGGTAATTATAATTAATTAGTTGCCATTATTTTTATCCTTTTCGAAATTTCTCTAGCCCGCGGTAATTATTAATCAATGGGATTCAAGCTTCAATATCCTCATCAAATTGGTTTCGTTCTCCATGAGGTCGTGGAATATGTGGGTGATCTTCATCTAAATATATACATTTATTTAAATTTGAGACAAATTACTTACAAAAATATATAGATATTCCTACATGTATCATTTAAGCTTATTTATATCACAAAAATCATATGTATAAAGTGACGTCTAATGGTTATAGCTAGGTCAGTTGGGTTCACTCTCGGGGGAAACCGAGTTTTAAAAGGGGGAAACCGAGGAAAAAAATGCTGCTTCCCCCGATCTTTTGTAATGCAAACCTCGGGGGAAACCGAAGCTAGGATTTTTTATGAGAAATCTTACAAAGTTCGGGGGAAACCGAAGTTTGTGCACCAACTTAGCACGGTAGCTTCATACAATTATCAAATGAATTTCATAAGGATAGAGATTAATCTTTGTACTATATACTGTAAAGTAACAACACATATAACACACATTAATAATCATACACAGTGTTCACTCCATGTGTTACACGAATGAGTAAATGTGCCAACATGCCAGTGCGGATGGAAAATATAAAACTTATTTCCTCCACTTCCAGCGAGGGAAAAATTCTAATTTTTTTTCTATAAATTGTCCACTACAGATTCTTATATTATATATTTTCAAAATTGACATATCTATGAACATTCGCGCGGAATTTTAAATTTAATTTTCAAAACTACGGGGGAAACCGAGTTTTCCACGAAAAACTTCGGGGGAAGCCAAAGAAACTAAATCTTGCGCAGAGTGGCTTCGGTTTCCCCCGAGGATTGTATTTACTAAAGTTCGGGGGAAGCAGAATTTTTTTCCTCGGTTCCCCCCTTTCAAAACTCGATTTCCTCCGAGAGTGAACCCAGCTGTAGGTCTTAAAAAATTTCTTAAATATTGAAATTTTTTTTTATTTCAATTTTTGCAATGTTTAGAAATACATTAATTAGCCCGAACGAATTATTAAATATAACTTTCAATTTTCAATTAATTGTCACTTATAACTATTTTTTGCTTACCGTTCATCAACCAGAAAAAGTATTTCTGAATAATTCCAAATTTACTGGTGCACCAGACCGTGACCAAAGACAGCATCATGGTCAATACTGTGTACACGATTATCCTCCTTATTTCTTCACACTCGGTGTAAGACACTGCGACCTGACCCACGATAAAAGTTGTCATGTTGAGGAAAAGTATTTTATTTTTGATGAGTGCATAAAAATCAAAGCATGAAGAAATTTCTCGTCTTATTAGAAAACTTTGTCTTCTTCCAAATTCCAAAATATTTTGAATTATTTGACTCATAGTGGGGGGTCAATTAGTTTGCAGAAAATTTCTATATAAATATTGTCTCAAATATTATGTAAATACAGCAAAAATATTGGTACAATGGTAACGCGATACTGATCTGACGAGATAATGAAATGAGATTATCCATATGTTTTTGCTGATATTTTATTCTGCCTGGCAACAAGAACGACAAAGTTGAGCGATACAAAGATATGCGGAACAAACTGCAAGACTGTAAAAAAATTAATGTGCAAAAACAAGATTCTAGCAATCATAAAATTTTGACTACCTATGTGAGCTGACGGATTTCATTCCCTTGTCGTAAAACATTTTATTTCTATGTGAATATGAAAATTTTACTGCATTCCTCCAATAGCAATGAATCCATGGCATATGTATGTATATAAATTTTGTATGTACAAAGTATTTATATTTTATTTATTTAAGCTGCATGTTAATAAATGTAAAATTATAATTATGAACTTCGTAATACATAAATACCATTAGAATTGGGTAATAGTAATTTTTTGTTGTTGCTTGGTATTTTCGTCACTAAGAAAATTCTTGTCTTTGTTTCATAAAATATTGTCGTAGCTGGCGATCAAATTCTTGAAATGATTTTGTCATTTTTATGTCAATGCATTCCAAATTTAAACAATTTTTTAATGACACGAAATCTGCGCAAATGCTGTACTAAACCTTGGTACTACAATCATGGTCTTGTCACGTAATTCGCTCTCGGGTTTCTCAATTTTTGAAAATATTACGCATTACAGGGGACAATAATGATTTTGTAAATACATATTTAAATAAAAACTCTAGAGCGTAAACATTTCTCCTTTCTTGAAAAGTTAAAATATTAAATTTTTGTAGGATATTCCACTTTTCATTACAAGGTTTATCCATAATTATCCAATCTATCATTTTTTATACTCGTATTACACGGTTTAGTCCATCAATCGTATTATTACAAATAAAACCCCATATTGGTGGATAGGAGTCAACCAAGCTTAGAATTAGGAAACAACAAATTATTTTTCTATATTTAAGTCCGAAGCATTTTTTAAACCTCCAGATTAATTTGATCCTCGATAACATACATTTTAATACATAATTATAATGCTCACCAGTTTAGCTTTCAAAATTCTCATAGGGACATTTATAAACTATTCTCTTCAAAAATTAGCTTTTTGAACAGCGTCACGAACCATTAGATGACCAATAGTTTCTCCCTGCAGTCGATACCATTTTTACTCGTTTTGATAGTTTAGCACTTTTTCGCAACACCAGCAAATTTATCTTTCAGATTTCCAATTATTTATGATGACGATATACGTGAGAAGGTTTGCGACATTTTTTGTCTCGATTGGTTGTATGTTTTTGAGAATTTTGCCAGTTTGGTACTGTTTTTGAAGAAGCAGTTTTTTTTCGACAAAACCTATTTAATTTATGAATGAATTGATGCGTCTAAATCGCAGAATAGTGTCCACTATGCTCAGGGTATTACAAAAGATGTCTTTATATTTTATTCTGACCGGTCTTTGGAAACTTAGCAATTAAAAGGTTAACCTGTTGACATGGCGTGGCATGATATGATGCCAGCCAAATTGGAACCTTTGCCATGGGGTGGCATCATTTGGTGACGGACAAATTCAGACCGTTCGAGTGGGGCGTCATCATATGATGACGGACACGTTTATACCTTTCCCCTGGGTTGGCATCTATTTGTGACAAAGAGAAATAATTGTAGCCTGGGGCTGGCATCTATGCATGACAGTCGAAAAAATTTGACCCCACTTTAAATTTTCTCATTTTCTTGCTTTCATTTCTCACTTTCTCAAAACATTTCACAATATGCCCCAGTCATAACACAAAACTGTTACAAAAAATATCTCCCTCAAACTCAGCTGACACAAATATAAATAAAAGTTGTTCATTAACTGAATCTGTTTAATTTAATTGCAAGGTAAGTAAATATCTATACATATGTTTTGCATTTAATTAATTTCCAACAATACATTTCTAGACTGCTTCAAAATGGAGTCAAATTCGGATTCCGAATGCGATTTGGACTTTTTGGATGAATTATCTTCTCCTGAACCATCGTTTTATTTATCCCATCATCTTTCAACAACGACTGACAATTTTATGAATTTTGGTATTCAGAAATAATTTTCTTATTTCAAATTGTGCAAATAAACAAATCAAAAATATGTACTTGGTGAATTTATATAGATACCGAGGACGAAATTTTTACCAGCCAAGAATCAGATGACGAGGACGAAGCAAGTTCACAGGGGGATGAAAATTTGCAAGATAATCTGCAATTTAGCCAAGAAATTCCTCCTGTACCAGACATTCAGGACCCTCTAATAGATCTTAATTTGGAAGATGAATTGTGTAATGAAAAATAATAATTTATCTCTATACGCATAAAATTATTCTGTTAGGAATTCCCTATATAATTTATGTAATCCTAGATTCACCGTCTCGTCAATATCGAGCAACACCGTCGACTTGGAATTGGACCTCCTGTGAAAATTACTCTCCTCGGGAAATATTATTTAACGAAGACAATCAAGGGTGGTCATTTGAAAATGAAACAGGCAAAGAATTTACACCGTTCGAGCTACTTCTCAAGACATTTCCCCTCGAATTGCTGGATCTTTGCGTAACCGAGACTAATAGATATGCTGCAAACATAATATCTATGGCTCGCAAACCGTCAAGAAGAATGCAAGCTTGGAAACCAATCTCACAGAACGAACTTTGGAAATTCCTTGGAATGAAATTGATGATGGGTCTTAATCGAAAACCCGACCAGTCCAACTACTGGAGTAAAGATCTACTTTTTCATCAATCAATCTTTGCAGACATAATGTCGTCGGATCGTTATTTTGAGATTATGCGATATCTGCACTTTGCAAACAACGATGACATGATCCCGGGAGACAGACTATTCAAAATCAGAAGTGTTGTGAACATTTTAAATTCGACTTGGAAGTCACTACTAAAACCAAGCCTGCGATTATCAATTGACGAAAGCTTAATTGGATTTAAGGGTCGTCTACTATTTCGGCAGTATAATCCACTCCAACGAGATCAAATCGGAATCAAGACTTTTTCTGTAGTCGACGCGTTAACCGGATTTGTACTCAATACTATTGTTTATTCTGGAAAAGGACACCAGCTCAAGTATTCGTCCAAAGACTTTGGGTACGGTGGCGCAATTATTTTGGAGCTCATTGAACCCTACCTAGGAAAAGGACATCATCTCTACGCTGACAACTGGTTTACATCTCCCAATTTAGTAAATGAGCTCAAACTTCGCGATACGTTAATGTGTGGTACTGTAAAGCGCACTCTACAAAATATGCCAAAATCCGACACCAAAAAGATGAAGAAAGGTCAGATTCGCCCCTTCTGCTCAAATAATGTCTTGGTGGAATATTGGCAAGACCGGAAATCAGCGTCTATAATTTCTACCATACATTCTCACGAGATGGTTCCAATAAAACCCAGGCATGGAGCAATAGTAATGAAGCCGAAATCCGTAGCAGATTACAATCTATACGCCCGGGGAGTGGACCAGGCTGACATGATGATCAGTTACTATTCGCCACAACGGAAGTCGATGAAATGGACTAAAAAAGTGTTTTTTCATCTGTTTATGAGAGCTATAAAAAATTCCTTCGACATTCGGAAAAGTTTGTACGGAAAAATTCCTTTCTTACCATTTGTATTGGATCTAATTCGTGAAATGATAATGCTTGACCCCAAGCAGGCAAAAAACTCGCAAAATTCCCAGCAGCATCTTCGCCTTCAGCCAGGCAAACATTTTCCAGCCCTAAACTTGGTGACTTCCTCGAAAGCTACTGGCTATCGTCGATGTGTAGTTTGCTCTTCTTCCAAAAAGAGGAAAATGACTAAATACCATTGTAGTCTTTGTAAACAAGCTCTTTGTGTAACACCATGTTTTGAGGCGTATCACACAAAGCAAAACTTTTAATGTAATACATAAATATGTACTTTTTCTGTGTGAACAACCGCTATAATTTAATTTATTTGTTTTCGAGAATGGTGAAATTGTAAGAATTTAATTCGCAAAGTCTGTTAGATTCATCAAATTTAAATACGTGTTTCAAAGTATTATAAAAAACCTCATAATTCCACAATCATTTAATAAAGCAATTTCAAATATTATTTTACGGTTATATGTGCGTGTGGTAAAATTTATTTTTTATAAATCTTTTTGTATTTTGTCTCAATTAAGCTCATTAGCATCTTACAAGCATGAAAATAATTATTTTATATTAATATCACTGCTCAAAACCTCTCCCACGGGAGCGAATTTCACTGCAAGGTCAGCGCCCACGCAATGGAAAGGCAATGGGATCACCTATCCCACGGCAAGCGAACGTAACGCTTCGCTAGCTCCCCCCTTTAACTATATATATTTTAGAATTCCGTCCCCATGTCAACAGGTTAACACCATTTCTTCCACTATGATATGTCCTAATTTCAACAAAATCGTTTTTTATAATTCTGGATAATCTTCAAAGTTCTCGGGATGATTCTGATGCTCCGGATTGATAGCGGTTATTTGGTACAGCAGTGTTTTGGCTTTCATGATACTGAAAGAATTGTCAAAATTGATAGAATATTTTCCTGCAAATTCGCAAATGTGGGAGCCTTCTATGACTTGGTTGTGGGCATCTACCCGGGCGTGTGGGACAAGGTCAATTATCGCAATATCACTGGTCTCTTCGTTATCTTCTACATTAGCAGTATTATTGTTCATGATTTTACGATTTGTAAACTTACTATCAGGTGGAGTCTCGCTTGGTTGGTGATAGTGTGAACATCTCGCTCTCGCTGCACCAGTTATAAGATTATCACAAAATCACATATACATTTAATTAACACGAGGAAAGTTGAGACAAGTTATTTTTGCACTCGGAATCAGCCAACGTTGTTGGTGTGGATTGAGTTGTGAATTTACAAAAGAAACTAACACAGAATTTCCCAGATAAGTTCGTATCATGAATAACGTAAAAGTTCGCCAATCAGATAAAAATAATAATGGAACTTTTTCTCAAGAAAATTTTGACCCAGCGCAAATGAATTCGGAAAAAGAACTTGCTAAGTTAAAAAGTGATTTAGCTGTTTTAAAAGCTGAGTTAAACACGTTGAAAAATAAATTTATAGGAAGTGAATTGCAAATTCAGAGCCACGGAGCCCTTCTGCATCACATTACAAGCGATACTAAAACTGGAAACAAAATCATAATTCACGGATTGAGGGGACTCAACAACCTTGACATAAAAAACGAAGTCATTAATTTCTTTTCGGATATTTTACAAATACAACCAACTGTATACAACGCTGAGGTAATCCTATCCAGAAAAAAATTAACATACAACCCTGTCCTAGTGACTTTTGAATCGATCAACGATAAAATACTTGTATTTGCAAATTGCCACAAGTTAAAACATTTGGAAGACAAAATCTCCGTTTGGGACGACATTCCAAGCCATGAAAGAAAGAAAAGAAAATTAGCAGTATTGGAGATGAAAAAACTGAAAAATTTTGGAGAAAATTGTAAAATATTTGGTTCGAGACTGATCAAAAATGTAAAGAAAATTCTACCAACTCCACACGGAATGCAAAAAACGCCCATAATTTTCAAGCCATTTCAACCCAATGTAATGCAAGAGATTACGCCCACAATTAACAACCTATATCAACCCAATGTAAAGCAAGTGCCTGCAGAATGTGTAGAACAAATGCCATCAAAATTTGCTGAGCAACAAATAATTACGCCGACATCTCATCTTACCGAGTTCAAGCAAGATCTAGCTGTACAACTAGTATTGTCAAAAATGCATAAGAATCGACTGAGTGGAGAGAACAGAAAATATGATCAACTTCTCAAGTTAATTGCGACGCAAAGAAAAGCCAAGTTCACTTCAGCTAAGTGCAGATGCAACACCCCAGATAAACCTAATGCCTACAATAACTTTATTGAGGAAACAGAGTTGGACTTCTGTCGCGCAATATCACTCATTGAAAAAGTGAATGAAATTAGATCACTCTTCAGCCAAATGTACAAATCACGTTACAAAAATTACTGCCTATGTGGAGAAGCGTGTGTGGAAGAGATGCTGTTGGATGAGGACTTTATGAAGCTATGCAACACGGAGAGAATTCGACCACCATCCCCAGAAACGGAAAATAAGGACAAAATGTTTGGGAACCTTTTCGAAGAATAATATAATTTATACTTATTTAAATTGTTTTTTGTTAGACATAAAAGTCATGAACCTTTTCGAGGAATAACGATATATAATTTCTATTCCTGATTTGTTTTATTTTAGACACGTAAAAGCAATGTTACCTTAAAACATATATGAAAATGTCATGAAAATTATGCAATGAGTTTAATATGCAAAATTCTAATTTTAGGTGCCAATTATTATAAGTTTGATAATTATAAGATACCAAACGAGACTCCATTGTTGCATATGTTAAGTTGATTTTGATTGTAACTTTATGGGCGTAAGCCCGAAAAAGTTGTTTCAATAAATAAATACATACAATACATACATACATACAACTTACTATCAGGTACGACGGTAAGTTGGAATGCAATATCGTGCTTTTCCTTTTTAAATTTCCATTCTGGAATTGTATTTTTCTCAGAAAGTTGCACCGTTTTAACAAACTTTTCCCTTGCGTTGACAATGATTTTGTGAAAATCGGCATCCGCTTCGGTGAGACCTGTCAAAAGAGATATTTACAATGATGGTATTCACGACACCCTTGGTACATAAGTCCGTAACCAGGTAAACTAACGAGCGAAAAACAGGTGTTTATCTTGGTCAGTTTTTAGAAGCAAGAATTACCTTGGAGAGTAAGTTCGTAAGTTTGCGCGGTTGCGGACTTACTAAGCGCGACGAGAAATTTGGCAATGGCTTTTAATAAACCAATCCCAGGGACTTTTAAAAAATAATAATATTCAATTTTGTAATTACCGTGCATGACAGATCGCATATCTTTAGGTCCATGGATCCAAATTTCACCACCGGAACAGAATTCATCCACTCCCTGTAAAGATCCGCCCCAATGTGGAGGAATATTTTCGACTGTAAACTTTTGCTTGACGACAGCCTTCCATATTTCTGGATCAGGTCCATAAATATCTATCTTGTCTAGAGTTGATTTTGCAATGAATGGTTTGAACATGGCCAACAGGGTGGCAAATATTTTAGGGGCGTTTACCACCATAGCGTATCGAAGCAATTCCGGGTAATTTGAATCTGTTTGCTGCTGCACTTTCGCCATTAACTCACGGCAGGGTTTGGATGACATTTGTCGGTATGAGAACCTGTTGAATTATTGAAATAATTGTATTACTTACAATCTTAGTACTGTGAGAAATACGGTAAGAAAATTTAGAACTAATTTTTCAAAATATTTATAAAAACTAAAGGCAGCAAGACATATCTCATTTTTCAATAGATAAGTGACAATGCTTTGGTGTTGTCTAGTTGAATTAAAGCCATAATTGTTTGTTATTTTGCACGCTTTTAAATTTTAATTTTTTTTTTTAAAACTAGATGTAGTTTCATTTTCTTATCATATTTCGGACACACCTCACATGAAAGTGCTGATCAGCATCATATTTAGAACGTAAATATATAATTTCATTAAGTCAACTCACCCTTCACAATCTATAATTTGAATAAGCTGCGTAACTTTCTACCACTTTTAATTCCCTCTTGTTGCATTAGGTTCAGGTACTTTTCCATATTCATAATTTGAATGCGTAGCATTTCTTCTACCCCATATTTTTCAACTAGATATCGTGTGTCATGCCTTCCAAAGGGAACGACAAATGTGGCGTAACCTTCCGTTGAGATACCGCTATAAGCTACCGGCGACATTTTCTTGACCTCTTCCGGAATGTCGTCACATTTCAGAATGTTGTCGACATCGTTATCCTGTCTCCATTTCAGGGACGCCCTCAACATCTCTTCAGCCCTAATTAGATTGAGATCTCGAGCTCTAAGCCATCTTATCAGGAAGGAATCGTCCTTCTGGTATTCCGTTTGCAAAAGGTTTTGGACCTTTGCGCGAAATTCGATAAGTTTCTGGTACTCTAAGTCGGAGTAAGGGTGGAATGTTGGGAGGGATGAGATGCGTTCAATATCCATATCGCGTGTGGGTCTTGTATTTCTGAAAATAATAAAATTGGTAAGGAAAATTTGATATTTTTATTTATTTATTTTATCACCTAAGTAGGACACATACATAGAATAGCATGATAATTAATAAGATAAATCGTAGAATATCGTTCATCACTCATAAAATGGGTTGGCATGGTTACTATTCCAAAATGTAGAAAAAGACGGAGAACTATGCCGTCACCAAATCTTCAAGTAAATTACACAAAAATACCGTAGAAAAAATTCTCGCCACGCAACGACGTCACAAAAAGAATAAATATGATAAGTAATTTACATGCATGTAAGTAAAGTTAGTCATGGCCAATTATTCCAGGTGGGTTGAATTTTTGAATGCGTTTGAACTTGCCTACTTTCCATGGACGAGATTACTACAGTGGTATTCAATTCTTCCTTCCCAGTCGGATCAGTTGTGAGGGGATGTAATCCTGTGGATATCGGTTGATATATTACTCTGACGTGTGGGGAAGTTTAAGGTTATCTGGGCTTCTTACATATTCAGGAAGAAAATCTCTTGCAGCATCAGAGATTTAGTTAATAACTTTTAGTATACGTAATTTGTTTCAATTATGATTATAAGGGTATTTGTATGATATCATAGTCGGAAATATGCAGGTAAATTCGAATTATTAAAAATAAAAACTAGGAATATTCGTTGCTAAGCAATTATTGATAGAATACTAAAAGTAAAATAATAAATTGTTAAATACTGCAATTGCACTTTGTTTTGTGACAAGTTAAACGAAAATTATGGATTATTTATCTACTAATTAATCGAAATGATAAAAATGTATAATAGTCATCAAGGCTGGGATGGCACGCGGTTTAACCTGTTGACATAGGGGCGGCACTATAAAATGTCTGGCTGTCTCAAAGTTTGCATAGTGAGGTTTGTAGCTGTGGTTGTGGAAATAATGAAAAGAGGCTCATTTAATGATGCAGTTATTGTGCTCGTTGGAAGAAATGATAATGGAGTGACGGTGGATGCATTTTCATGAGGAAGAGAGAGAAGTAGACCATGCTGAATTATTTCATTCGAATCGCGACGGACTGATGGATTCACGGTGGCTGGAATCTGCATAGTTGTTGTGAAAGTTGGAGGAGAAATTACGATTGAACCTATTTTGACTATGCATAATTTGAATGCGTAGCATTTCTTCTACCCCATATTTTTCAACTAGATATCGTGTGTCATGCCTTCCAAAGGGAACGACAAATGTGGCGTAACCTTCCGTTGAGATACCGCTATAAGCTACCGGCGACATTTTCTTGACCTCTTCCGGAATGTCGTCACATTTCAGAATGTTGTCGACATCGTTATCCTGTCTCCATTTCAGGGACGCCCTCAACATCTCTTCAGCCCTAATTAGATTGAGATCTCGAGCTCTAAGCCATCTTATCAGGAAGGAATCGTCCTTCTGGTATTCCGTTTGCAAAAGGTTTTGGACCTTTGCGCGAAATTCGATAAGTTTCTGGTACTCTAAGTCGGAGTAAGGGTGGAATGTTGGGAGGGATGAGATGCGTTCAATATCCATATCGCGTGTGGGTCTTGTATTTCTGAAAATAATAAAATTGGTAAGGAAAATTTGATATTTTTATTTATTTATTTTATCACCTAAGTAGGACACATACATAGAATAGCATGATAATTAATAAGATAAATCGTAGAATATCGTTCATCACTCATAAAATGGGTTGGCATGGTTACTATTCCAAAATGTAGAAAAAGACGGAGAACTATGCCGTCACCAAATCTTCAAGTAAATTACACAAAAATACCGTAGAAAAAATTCTCGCCACGCAACGACGTCACAAAAAGAATAAATATGATAAGTAATTTACATGCATGTAAGTAAAGTTATAGATAGATATAGTTGTGACAAAAAGTATTTACGTCTGGTAAACACTGTATTAGTTTTTACAACAATTATAAAAATGTCCGTATTGTTACCAATAGTACATAATTTATGTAGATATTAACAAATAAATATTACCATATTTATTACCACAATGCCAGAATAGCCACTGTCCTCGTGAATATTTTTTTATTAATTGGTAGAGACTATTTTTTAGACATCAGACGAGAAAAGTAAACTTGAAGAACTTATCGGATAAGTAATAACTGTGTATAAATTTTCTTCATGAATAAGTAAGGTAAAGGTGACCACCGTGTCGATGGGTGTAAGTATTTATGTATTATTCATATTTGGAACAGAAAATTAGTACGAAAAAAATATATAAAAATTAAGTTTACAAACACTCACTTGACTTCTTATTGTTTTTATTTGTTCAAAAAGAACGAGATATGTGATGGAAGGTTATATATGTAAAATATGTCGGGTCCAAAGAGTAAATTCGTAAGTGCATAAAGTCAAGATTTTATAATTTAAATTAAATTACTGAACATAATGTGATTGTATTTATTCGTGAGGATTTTGTCAGCTGCCCGGAACTAAACTCGTGTATAGAAAATCGGTTGGACTTGGGAAAGAAAAAGAACAAAGGCAGGATAGGGGTGTCAACAGTGTAGTTTTTCTTCGGTGACGCAACAGCCAAAAACCAGGGCCCCGCACGAACGACAAAAACCTCAGCAGTTGGGGCCCGGCGAAGCCAGAAGTCTCCTAACAGACGGAGCACGCAAATGGTCCCAGTGAAGTTTCTCCTAAACGATGCGTCGGAAAGAAAAATGACAAGAGACCAAATAATTAGAGAATTCAATTTCCCATGGTGGCAAAATTTGGATTTTCGAAATTTTGAGTCTTTCTATTAGAACTCGATATTGCATTGCTGATTTCAACGTAAAACTTAAACTTTCTTATGAGACATAGGAGTTTTTTAGATTTAATACCTCAAACCAAATTTTTTTTGTATGACACATTTTCACTTACAAAGTCAATTTAATGACTGAGAGGATAATTAACAAATTTAAAAATGTATGAGCAGTAAACAAGTACTCAAATTATCGCAAGAATAACTCACAAGGTGAGGTGGTCTAGTGGATAGCAAGTTTGATTTGAATTTGATTGGTTCTAGGTTCGATGCCTTGTACTGGAAATGTATTTTTGCAAAATTTTTTCGTAATACCAAAATATCATCTTGGACGAAAATTTCACTAAGAATTCAATTATGCAAATACTTTTGACCTGTAGCCTTCTGCAGGCTTTGTTGGTGAAGTCAAAGGTCAAAAATCACTTAATTGTATGTGGGGTGCCATTCTGGAAGGAGATTTCACGCATAATTTAATGGAATCAATATTTTTGAGCTCAAACCTTCCGGTGACCTTGTTGGTGAGGTCAGAGGTCACAAACCAAATTTGATTACATGGGGTGTCGTTTGAAATATGTGATTGAGGACGTTCAAATTACGGGTAACATGTCGATATGGGGCGAAATGCCAGGGGGAACTTTGAGACAACTGTAAATCATCGGAAACCGATATGAGCTTTCCCTACGTACCCCAGACAATCTTCTATGGATTTTCGCAAAAATTAAAACTGCTAAAAATCTAGCTGTATTAGTACACACATACGCCACTCTATGGCCTAAATTACCTGCCACATTTAGTGATGCACACTAATATTAATAAGATTATTAAAGAAACTTGAAATTGTATTCTTTTATATTTACATCGACAAAATATAAAATAAATTATTTTTGTGAAAAACAGTCTTTGGTGAGATACTAAGAGTCGCGAATAAAAAAAGACAACAAGAAATTTTGTATTTTCTAATTTGGCAGAAATTAGACAACAAATGAATAATTTCTGACATTTAAAAATTCTAGTATTCGAATTACTGACAAATTGCCTCACCGCGGGCCCAAAATGTTTTGAAAAATTAGTTAACAAACGAAATTATTTGTTTTCTACGTATTACACTAGGTCTACATCTTAACTTGATTTTAATCATGTTGCTAATGTCAATAATATTCTCAAGTCCCAAGAAACTTCTGGTCCCGTCTCGTATCTCCGCTCGCTTCATAACATGGGAGGGATACGAGACGGGACAACAAATTTCTTGGGATTTGAGAATATTATTGACATTAATAAACGGACAATCTTTATATCCGTTTTAGTAAGTCATCTCAAGCAAAATTAATTGTTTTGGCTTCGTGATAACTACATTGGTCACTAACGAATTGACATTCATCTCATACATGTAAGACGATTCACATAAATCATTCTGAAAGGTTACCACCGCCAACGGATTGTTCCAGCAAAATATGCCAATATTCCCCAATTGTCTAAACTTATTTGAGATTTTACACAATATCCGGAAGAGATTGGAAGTGTTACTAGGTGTTTAGAAATATTAGGGATTACAGCTTTAGATAATAGCAAACAAAAACTGTTCCAAATTTGCTACAACTCAAACAAATTAGATAACTATCCCAAGATAACTAACCAAACCTTTTTCAAAACATTTTGGGCCCGCGGTGAGGCAACTTGTCAGTAATTCGAATACTAGAATTTTTAAATGACAGAAATTATTCATTTGTTGTCTAATTTCTGCCAAATTAGAAAATACAAAATTTCTTGTTTTCTTTTTTTATTCGCGACTCTTAGTATCTCACCGAAGACTGTTTTTCACAAAAATAATTTATGCAGTGTTAATGTTTATAACACTCTCACTTTTGCATACGGATGTATATACTTTTCTTTATATAGGCTGGGGTTCTATTCTTTCTCTAAATTCTCGACTTATCCTATCTATACTATAATTTCGTAATGTTGGTCCCGTTGAAATTTTCCGTGACATTGCATCATTCTGATTGGCTGTTACTGGCTGGCTGGCTGAGTATTGAGTATTTCCAGATAGTATACATATATTCAAGATTTTGTGATTTTAAGGTTTTGAAATTTTGGGATTTTGACATTTTGATATTTTGATATAATGATATTTTGATATTTTGATATAATGATATTTTGATATTTTGATATAATGATATTTTCCGATTTTAAGATTTTTGCATGACGGGATTTCTAAATTATGGAATATTTAAACTTTGGGATTTTAAGATGCGAATTTAATTTTGGGATTTGACATTCAGATTTAGGTTTTGTATCGTGATACAACTTCAAGGGAGTGATTCTAATCTCTCAAATGAGCAGAGTTCAAACATGTGACGGAAAGTTACATGTGTGGGAGCTACTTGAAGGACTTTTTAAACTTCTAATACATGCAGGTTAAATAAAAGAAACAAATGTGGAATTTCGCCTCTCTTTAAGACAGGCTTATAGGCTAGTTTAGAGATATAACTAACCTAGCTTGTAACTTAACCTATGTAGGACCTGACTATGGTGTGATGATATGAGAAGATGATCTTACCATAGATAACATCATTCTCCAATCGAAATATAGCTTAGCACTAATTTGATTGCCACACTTGCAATCGGCGCAAGTTAGGTTTTCGACGCTATAGTATAGCGTAGAAAACCTAATTTGGAAATGATAATAATAAGTTCCACGTATAATCAAGAATACTACCGTGATACTCACATTTGTATGAATTTTGGATACCGAAGAAGCGATAGTCCATTATGCCACATTCCCAGGACATAACATTTAGGGATTTCAGCACCTTCCTATTTACCCCTGTACGCTTCGCGCTAGCCCGCGTGGCTGCCCTCCACTTCCTTAGAACTTCATCTGTCCCTGTGTTAAGATAGATCAAGACCGGCAGCAAGAATTTAGTCACTCCAACGAAATCGCTGGATAGGTAGGGAGCTATGACTAGGGAATCCAAAACCGGTTTTTGAAAACCGGTAAAACCGGTGAAAAACCGCTTTTCGGTTTAACCAAAAACCGGTTTTGCAATTTAATTTGCAATTTAGGAAACCGGTTTTTTCTCAAAATACCCCTACAATTTAACAGGGGTAAAGTTGTTCATTTTCATGACTTCCGTACTTTTTTATACGACTTATAGAGATACAGAATTTTCCTTACACATAGATATCTATTTTGAAGTTAAAACGACTTGAAAACGATTCTCCTTTTCTCTTTATTTTGATCCCCATTTTTTGTAATTTCTTAAAAACTCACGACGGAGAGTATTATTTGCTTGAGTAAAACGAAAATCTGAAGATGCACGAAAAAAGCTAATTAAGCCGTGTTTCGCGTCATAATTACCGAGTGGTAATATGCGAAACTTTCAGGTAATTATCACCCAACTCCAATGGGGTCGGGTACTAATTATGGAACAACTGTGAGTAACTGTTATAACTACATAGGGTACTGAATTAAATTAAATACAGTTTATTCATAGAAACTACTGGTACTGACGCTGTGATTTCTTCAAAGGACATTATTTTCTAAAAATGCGGTCATAATCGGGCGACGATTTGACCGTAATTGTCGCTCAAAATATAATAAGCACGTCTGAAAGTTTAGGCTAAATTGACACTAATCAGCCTTTAATACTTAAGTTATATACGGTTTTTATCTTGGTAAATGCCCAATTCTCACTAAAAAAAGTATTTGAGATGTCGATGATGAGTTCAAATACTTACTTATGTATGTATCTACATAGAAACATAT